CCGCTCCGAGCGTGTTAATGACATCTGTGTTTGGACGCGAGCCGAAGGCCTGGATCTGCGACGGTGTCAGCACGCCGAAGTGGAATTCCGAGGGGACAAGGTGCGCACCACAAGATCGGCATCCTTGATCGTCTTGCCCTTGCGCGTGACGACATCGGTGACAAAAAGTGGATCGGGGAAGACGTCGATACAGTCTTGGTCTATGAGAGTGATCCCCTGGGCGAGAACCTTCTGTTCTAAGTTCTTTCGGAGCTTTTCAGGGTAGACGTCGTTCAACAGGTGTGTCTCGCTGTGGACGATGGTGACCTTGGTGTTCTATACAGGCGAAGAGCTGTCAGTCGCGCCATAGAGCATGAGCATCGCGCGCCGTGCTCACCGGATGTGCTTCACGAATCTCGCCGGCAAGTTCTAGACACGCTGTCAGTACTATATCTCGGGAGAGGATAACGAAACTGACCAATGCCGGCCGCACCACCGCCCGCAATGACCACATTCTTCGCCTGGGAGAACCTCTCGCGCCAGATCTCGATATTTGCGCGCACCTTCTCGTCTGAGTGTCCGAGGTTGGGGGGACCGTTCCACTGGGAGCCCGTCGCGAGGACAAGGGCTGTGTAATCGAGACGTTCGTCGTTCTCGAGGACGAGTACACCGCCCTTGCCGGGGGTAGTCTCTTCAATCTTCACAAGCTTGCCCTGGACAAAGGTCACGTTCTGGAGCCGGTCGTAGGGCATGAGCGCTCTGTCCTCGAGCTGCCCCGCATCGGAGACGGTCATGCGTAGCGTGGCGATGTTGTGTACATAGTACGGTCGCGCATCGAGTAAGATGAGGTTGTACTGCGCGTGGTCGAGCTTGTTCGCGAGGCTCTGTATAGCTGAGGTTGTAGCGGCACCTCCGCCGACGATGACAACGTTCTTCTTTTGCTCGTCAATCTTCTTGGACATGTCGCTGAGAGTGCCCGCCGTTTGAGAATGTGTGTTTGGGCTTTTCCCACTCGCGTCTTTATATGCGCTGATTGTCGACACGCATAAACATATTGACCTGCGTCATAACACTAGTAGGAAAGGATGTGCGGGCTTGAGGACTGACGCTTGACTCAGCACTCTTGTGTGAGATTCGCGCCCCAGTCGGTTTGAGTGAGACAGAGATCACTACTGTTTCACTCAAACCTACTTCGACGTCATGAAGTTGCTTGGACATCAACAGCCGCTGATGAAAGGTTGGACACTGCTTACCTGCTAAGAATGCTCCATGCATGCCATATCTCAAGGCCTCACCCTGGCTCAGCAACTGTCCCCCGCCCAACAATTATCCGTGACCTCGCCCCAGCAGACGAGTTATCCAGTAGTGTGATGCGTGTGATGGCCATGGCCCTGGCTGAGCGCTGAGTTCTAACATCAGAGCAAGTGTTTCGCCTGTACTGTACTACAGTAGTTGCCAGGTCAGTAATAGCAGCCGCTAGCCTAGGAACATCTTACCGAAATTCATAGCGGGTGTTCTTTTGTGGTTATGACAGTGCAGCCCAAACTTGTACTGCGGGCACGTTCGCTGCGCGCTCCGTGGGACGTGGGGGCCGCGATGCGTCTTGTATTCCGTTTGAGCAAGGGATGCGATACGCCGCGGGTCGCCAAGCGCCCATCCGTGTTCTAATTACCTGGGACTCGCCCATGCCAGTCCGTATCCCTTCCTGTGCTGTGAGAAGGTTTTAAGAAGGTGGTGCATCACTATAGTTTGTTTAATTACGCACTGTGCCTCAGAAGACAACTGCGCAAACATGTTCGCTAAGGCGCTCGCACGTCCTACTCTCACACAGCAGCTCGTCCCCGCGAACACGATAAGTGGTATGCATTATAAACAGTACACTGGTATCTGAGAGGAAGTACGAAAGTCAAACAATAACCATAAGCCCAGGACGACGTAAACAAGCGAGAGAGGTGCAGGACACACGCGAAGCAGATACGAATATTCAGTAGCTGAGCTTTTTCCGCGTCATGCCTACGAGAAGGTCCTTCCCCTTGATCATGCCGGTGAACCAGTTACCCACAGTGATGCCCCAGAGAACATCAAAATACCCTGCGCCGTACGACTACACAGAACCTTCAGCAGCGTTCATGCTCAAGGACAAGTCCAGACTTACCCTTCCGATGGGGACGACGATCATCTCTGTCGAGCCCTTGTAGACCTTCTTCTGGGGTTGGCCACGGAGGAAGCTGAGCAGGTTCGGCACGGCAACGGACGCGTGGTTTCCGCTTTTGAAAGCCTGCTTCTGTTCGTTCCAGTCGACGATGTCGCCCACGGCAAACACGCCCGGATGGTCCGGCAGCTCGAGCGTCGGCTTCACCTTGACGTAGCCAGCCTCGGTGAGGACGCCGGCTCCGAGTGTGTTTATAATGCCAGTGTTTGGACGCGAGCCAAAGGCCGGGATCTGCGATGGTGTCAGCGCGCGAAGCAGGGTTCTTAGGGGACAAGGTGCGCACCACAAGGTCGGCACCCTTGATTGTCTTGCCCCTGCGTGTGACGATGTCGGTAGCGGTGAGTGCTTCGGGGAAGTTGTCGACGTAGTCCCGGTCTATGAGGGCAATCCCGCGGGAGAGGACCTTCTGCTCTAGGCTCTTTCGGAACTTGTCCGGGTAGACGTCGTTCATCAGTCGCGTGCCGCTATGAACGATGGTGACCTTAGTGTTCTATGCAGGTGAACAGATGAAACGTTGTCAGAAACGCCATAGGGCATGGGCATCGCGCTGTGCTCACCGGATGTGCGTCGACAATCTCGCCGGCAAGCTCTGGACGCGCTGTCAGCGTTGCATCTCGGACAGGGAACGATGTAGCTCACCGATACCGACCGCGCCTCCGCCCGCAATGACCACATTCTTCGCCTGGGCGAACCTCTCGCGCCAGATCCTGATATTCTCGTGCACCTCCTCGTTCGAGTCTCCATAGTCGATCAGGCCTGGCCACTTGGAACCCGTTGCGAGGATGAGGGCCGCGTATTCGAGACGGTCGCCGTTCGCGAGGACGAGCACACCGCCCTTGCCAGGAGCAGTCTCCTCGATCTCCACGAGCGTGCCCTGGACAAAGGTCGCTGGGAGCCGGTCGTAAGGGATGAGCACCTGGTCTTCGAGCCGCTCCGCCTCGGAGACGGCCATCCGCAGCCCGGCGATAACGTGCACGAAGTACGGCCGCGCATTAAGCAAGATCAGGTTGTACTGCGCGTGGTCGAGCTGCTTTGCGAGTTGCTGTACGACTTCGACGCCAGCAGCACCTCCGCCGACGATGACGACGTTCTTCTTTCCCTCGTCGGTTTTCTTGGACATGTTGCCGCGGGTCTTGGTCTTCTGGGAGCACTATCTGCGCGCATTTGGGCTCTTCCCACTCGTATCTTTATACATGTTGATTGTCGCCACGTATAAGCACGTCAATTCAACGTAATAGGAATGACGCGCGGACGTTACTCAGCACGATTGCGTCAAGTTTCTGCGCTAGTCGGTTCGAGCAAGCGATACGGTGAAGTTGCCCGAGCACGCAGTATCAGCGGCCACTGTGATAGGCTGGACACTGCCCGCCTTCATGCATCGAGGCCTCATCTTGACTCAGCAGCTGTCCCCAGGACAGGGGCCGCGAGACAAGAGCAGGTTAGTCTAGCGACACCCGCCACTACATAAGGTTTTGTTCACACGCAATTTCGATAATGTAGGCTGTTCGTCACCTCTGTACGAAGTTGAAAATTCAGGAGGATGTGTATGTTGGACACAGGACTTGCTTGTTGCTGAAGTTTGATCGGGAACAAAATCCTACACATAGACGCGGGCTTTGTGGCCCCCGCGTGAAGTCTGGGACATATTATCGCCGATTACATAAGAAGAGAATAGAGCTGGCAAGTCAGTCGCAAATTAGATACGACAGGATATTGTTGGGAGGTTGAGGTGATGTCCGGCGTTCATCACGTCGAGGTCGGCGGTGCCTTGGGAGGCGGTGCACGCTCTGGATAGCCTTCCTTGTTGTCAAGGAGACAGTGATTAAAAGCTGCCATTGTAGCTGGGACATCGCGTTGATTGACGGTTTGCAACAATTGTGTGAAAAAGGTGACACGGACTATACGCATATTATGCTGGTATGATATTTATATTTAAGTAACATCTGGGATGCTGCCCGCCTAGCTCAATCGGATAGAGCGTCAGACTCTTATGGTCGCAGGCGAGCGCACGCGATTCTAAGCGTAATCTGAAGGCTGCGAGTTCGACCCTCGCGGTGGGCTAGATGTTTTTGTTCTTTCGTTAGTTTCCTGGTTCGTTACATAAGCAAGTTTGTGGAATCCTAGCACTCGATACTTCCGGACGTTACTCAAATCAGTTGCGAAAAAATTGTTAGGAAACGATCACTGGTCGTCGAGACTGTGTCAGTTCGACGACACTCTCGCCCTCGCGTTCGTTTTATATACAAACTGAGGAGACACCCGTAGTCCTACAATCAATGATCTCGACAACATGGAGAGTACTATCGCAAACAAACCCAAACTAACCTCACGAAAGGAACCCACTCTGCCGCCAATACTCCACCCAGGCCCTGGCATGTGCGTCGCCGATGGCCGGCGCGTCCCGCAAGGCCTTGCTGCACTGCTGCATCCTCGCCGTCGAGTACGCCGGGAGCCCACCGGCCTCCATC